ACGCCGAGGCGCCGCGCATCGCGACGAGCGCGCGTGTTGATCCACCTCGCCAGCGTCTCCCAGTAGATGCCCATGCCGTAGCCGAGCCGGAAATTCTCGTGCTGGTGCCGTGGGTCCAGGACGCCGTGGTTGTCCGAGGCCAACGTCTTCTCCCAGGCAGACCAGACCTCTGGTGGAAAGCGCTTGCCCTCGCGCATGCAGCCCAAGAACGCGATCAGAGGGTCCCCCGGCTCGAAGCGCCTTGTGCCCTTCAGCTCGAAGACGCAGGGGATCTGAGAGAAGACTTCCAATCGCCTTTTCGGGCACGCAGGCCCATGACAACAACAATTTTGCCCGCGACCAGTTCAGACAGACGAGACTCCCGCTTGGCAACTCCCCGGTATTCAGGCCGCAGGAGCGAGTTCTAAAATCCGTCCTCAGACCTCCAAGTGACGACAGGAGACGGTCCTCTGACGGGGCTACCCGCACCGCCCACAAACAAAGTTCCCCCTTGATACTTCCCCCGTGTTCAGGCCGCAGGAGCTGAGGAGCCCAAAAAGCTCGCTCGGATGACCCGCTCGGGTTCGAACATGAAGTGCGTGCCCCATAGGGAGGGGGCTCCCGCCTGAGACTTCCTCGCAATTCACTCACAGACGAGGCTCCCGCTCGAGACTTCCTTCATATTCAAGCCTCAAGAGCCCAAAAGTGACGACAGTTACAGGGTTCCGATGACCCGCTCGGATTAGTTACATGATCGGCGGGCCCCATAAGGAGGGCGCTCCAGCCTGAGACGTCCTCGCAATTCACTCAGAGACGAGGCTCCCGCCTGATACTTCCTCCATATTCAAGCCTCAAGAGCCCAAAAGTGACGACAGTTACAAGGTTCCGATGACCCGCTCGGATTAATAACATGATCTGCGGGCCCCATAGGGAGGGGGCTCCCGCCTGAGACTTCCTCGCAATTCACTCACAGACGAGGCTCCCGCCTGATACTTCCTGCATATTCAAGCCTCAGAGGCCCAAAAGTGACGACAGTTACAGGGTTCCGATGACCCGCTCGGATTAGTAACATGATCTGCGGGCCCCATAGGGAGGGGGCTCCCGCCTAAGACTTCCTCGCAATTCACTCACAGACGAGGCTCCCGCTCGAGACTTCCTTCATATTCAAGCCGGAAGAGCCCAAAAGTGACGACAGTTACAGGGTTCCGATGACCCGCTCGGATTAATAACATGATCGGCGGGCCCCATAAGGAGGGGGCTCCAGCCTGAGACTTCCTCGCAATTCACTCAGAGACGAGGATCCCGCCTGATACTTCCTCCATACTTCAGGCCTCGAGAGCCCAAAAGTGACGACAGTTACAAGGTTCCGATGACCCGCTCGGATTGATAACATGATCTGCGGGCCCCATAGGGAGGGGGCTCCCGTCTGAGACTTCCTCGCAATTCACTCACAGACGAGGATCCCGCCTGATACTTCCTGCATGTTCAAGCCTCAGAGGCCCAAAAGTGACGACAGTTACAAGGTTCCGATGACCCGTTCGGATTAGTAACATGATCTGCGGGCCCCATAGGGAGGGGGCTCCCGCCTGAGACTTCCTCGCAATTCACTCAAAGGCTCCCGCCTGATGACGAAATGATGAGTGAGCGAATGATGATGATGAGTGTGTGATGAATGAGTGATGATGATGATGATGATGATGATGATGAGGATGAGGATGAGGATGAGGATGAGGATGATGAGGATGAGGATGATGATGATGAGGATGATGATAATGATGATGGCCACTGAGTGGGTGATCGAGAGATTATGATGGAGATGGTGACGATGATGTTGAGAGTGGCGGCGGTCCTACCGTCGGAGGACCACTGCCTCCGAAGCCTACTGAGGATGAGTGAGTAATTGAGTGAGTGAGTGGGTGATCGAGTGGTGATGATGGTGACGATGATGATGAGGATGATGATGATGACTAGTGATGACGGTGATGGTGGTTGATGGTGATGATGATGGTAATGATGATGAGTGTGTGCATGTGATGACGATGATGGTGGTTGATGGTGATGATGATGGCGATGATGGTGAGTGCGAGAGAGAGGAAAGGGTGTGTGTGAGATCCTGCGCGGCGTGTGCAGATGCAGAGAAAACAAGAACCCCACTTTGGATGTGGGGAAAAAACCTTTATACAAAAAAAGACCCAGTGCTGAAACAACAAAAAAACATTGAAAAAAAAAAACAAAAAAAAATGTCAATACTTACTCCACCTCTCATCCTCCTCCTCCCCCGCCTCCTCCTCCTCCTCCCCTTCCTCCTCCTCCTCCTTTTCATCCTCCTCCTCCTCCTCCTTCTCCTCCTCCTCGTCCTCCTCCTCCTCCTCCTCCTCCTCGCCCCCCACCCCTTAGCCCTCACCTTTCACTCCTCCTCGTCCTCCTCCTCCCCCTCCCTCCTCCTTCGCCCCTTGCCCTGCGAGGAGGAGGAGGAGGGGGGGGGAGGAAGGAGCGGAATTAAGGAAGAGTGGGATGGAGGAGGAGCGGGATGGAGGAGTGAAGTGGAGGCGGAGAAGCGGAATGGAGGAGTGGTCCACCTCCTCCTCCTCCTCCCCCTCCCCCCCTTGCCTTCTCCTCCTCCTCCTCCTCCTCCTCCTCCATTCTCTCTCCGGTCCTCCTCCTCCTCCTCCTCCTACTCCTCCTCCTCCTCCTCCTCCTCCTCCTCCTCCCATAGAAGCGGGGCAAGGATGGGGGGTGAGGGCTGAGGGGTGGGGGGCGAGGAGGAGGAGGACGAGGAGGAGGAGGAGGAGGAGGATGAGGAGGAGGAGGAGGAGGAGGCGGGGGAGGAGGAGGACGAGAGGTGGAGTAAGTATTGAAATCTTTGTTTTTTTTTTTTTGAGTTTTTTCAATAGTTTTTTTGGTTTTTCAGCTCTGGGTCTTTGGTTTCTTTGCTTTTTTTTGTTTTTCAATTTTTTTGTTGGGGTGTTTTTTGTTTTCCAATAGAATTCCTTTGTGATGCTTTCCAAAGGATTCCATTTGTGAGGCTTTCCAATAGAATCCCTTTGTGATGATGTCCAAAGGATTCCTTTTGTGCGGCTTTCCAATCGAATTCCTTTGTGCGGCTTTCCAATAGAATCCCTTTGTGGCGCTTTCAAAAAGGATTCCTTCTGTAAGGCTTTCCAATAGAATTCATTTGTGATGCTTTCCAAAGGATTCCGTTTGTGAGCCTTTCCAATAGATTCCCTGTGTGGCGCTTTCCAAAGGATTCCTGCTGTGAGGCTTTCCAACACAATCCCTTTGTGGCGCTTCCCAAAGGAGTCCGATTCTGAAGCTTTCGAATAGAATCCCTTTGTGGCACTTTCCAAAGAATTCCTGCTATGAGGCTTTCCAATAGAATCCCTCTGTGGCGCTTTCCAAAGGATTCCTTTTGTGGGGCTTTCCAATAGAATCCCTTTGTGTGCTTCCAAAAGATTCCTGTTGTGAGGCCTCAATGGGATCATATTGCGGCGCTTTCCAAAGGAAGGGGGAAGAGGAGGAAGAGAAAGAAAGGCTTTGCATCATCCTGCGATGTTTCAGGGGGGCGGGGATACGCCAGCGCCCATCTACACATATCAAACTATCATGTCGAGAACACAGATTTCCGTAATTGCACAAGAAGTGATTTGCACGACAACGGCTTTCTATGATCCGAGCATGTGCACACGCTTACCCTAAATTGTAAGATTTGGCATGAGCCATTACATAGGACAATCGTCAGATCATCGCTCTGGGGCCAGATGGGACCCAGTCACCGCCTGGTGTGCGCGCTCTGTGCACCTCATGGTATTGTCTGCCAGGGGAGGTGCCCCAGACCAGATGCGGCTTGATTTGACTTGAAAAAGAAAATGTGTCCAAACAGATAATGCTAAAATGGCCCAGTAGAGTCGTGTAGTGCAGAGTCGGGCGTGGTGGAGTGGAGCAGAGAACAGTCGAGAGGAGTCGAGTCGAGTAGAGTAGATGGCCGAGGACACGCCTAAAGCAGGGCCTCCGAGAAACTGCGCCGAGCAAGTGCGCTCGTGGCAGCCGAGCGGCCCCGCTGTCGCCGATCCCGATGCCCCCTGCTCTTCGGACAACCGCTCGGGGCCCCGGGATCAGCGCACAATGCTGGAAGAAAACATGTCCAGGGACAAAGAACGGCATAAACAGGAGCGTTTGGAGGTCCGCGCGGGGTTCTTGCATCGGCGATGGACTCCCTCTTTGCGGCGGCGCTGGAGGCCCCGCCAGGATCTAGCGCAGATCCAGGAAATCCGCGCGGAGCTCCGAAACTTTACGCCTGCACCGGAAAGCTGGAAGCATCCGTGGCCAGATTCACGTGTAGAACATCTGGAGGCCCCTTGGCGGGTACACGTGTGGAGGATCACCGTGCCCGGCCACACGGGGGCCGAGGGCTGGAAAGACGCGTGGCCTTGTGCGCATCCAGCTCTTGCCCAGGCCTGCAACGTCATGTGCATCCACCTCAAAACGCAAAATGAATGAAACAACAATTGCTACCAAGCGAATAAGGAAAACAAGAACACACAATAAAAAGTGCTCAAAACTGGGCCAGATTCGGCAAAAATCCAATCGACAAACATCTCTTGCTGGTCCAGTTCGGTCTCCTCTTCGAGTTTCTAGAGGCCTCCTAGATGGGGTCGGAGTAGATGTAGTCGGAGGATCGCGCCGTATCGCCGATGCATCGGCGATGTATCGGCGATGCCTCGGCGATGCACCGGCAACGTCGGCGATGCACTGGCGACGTCGGCGTGGAGAAAATCGGGCTCCACATCGAGCTGCATCGCCGATGCATCGTCGATGCGGCGCGATCCTCCGACCCCATCTACTCCGACCCCATCTAGGAGGCCTAGAGTGGGCAACACCCCAACATACTTATACCATATGTGCGTCGCCCCCCCAGGGGCGACGCGCGCACCGAGAAATCTTGTAGTATATGCGTCGTGGCGTGCGCTTTCTGGCCACATCGCTCGGGAAACGATATACTACAAGACGGGTATACTATATGTTCGGGTCGGACGCTCGCCTCCAAGGAGGACATATAGTACTAGTATGTCTCTGTGCCTCCCATAGAGTTTCCGACCGCGCCGCGCCGCAGTGCCGCAGCGCGGTCGGCAGGCTCCGCGCGTGCTCGGGAGGGCGGCCCGGCGGGCGACCGGCGCGCAGCGCGGACCCGCCGCAGGGGGGGGGGGCCGGCCTGGGGCGCCGGGAGCGCCTCGGCCTGGCTCAGCTTGGGCGTTGCTTAATGGGGGGGTCACAAATGAGGGGGGGGTCAGAAACGGTCCCCTTTCGTGCCCCTTTCGGGCCCCTCTGGAGCCCCAGGGGGCTCGTTCCGGCACCGTTTGGGTACCTTTTCAAACCACCCGCGACACCCCCCCGTTTATGACCCCCCCATTACGCAACGCCCAAGGCTCGGCGGGTGGAGGAGCTGCCGGGCACCACTGACCACCTACCAGACCACCCCAGCCCAACGCGAAGACCCGCACGTCGGGCTGGGGGGGGTGAGGGTTCCACATGTGTCTTGTTCGATGCTTCCTGACCCCCCCCCACTGGAAATCGAGGGTAAATCTGAGCCTTCGGGTTGGGTTGGGGTGGTTTGGTGGGTGGTGAACCACTGCCCACCAGGCTCGGGGACGCACGGACCGAGGCGAGCGCCAACGCGAGTCAGTCAGGCGAGTGCCAAGAGCCCGCGGGATCCTGCAGGATCGCACAAGCCCGGGTCAATGCACCCCGGGCCCTGCAGGATCCTGCAAGGTCAGGCGCTCCGGCTGATCCCCGTTTGAACTGACCCCCGTCTCAGGGCTCCCGGCAGGCACGGGTGGTGGAGCCACCGTCCGTGCGGCTAGAAAAGAATTCCAGAGCAGAGCAGTACACCGAACAAGACTCCCAAGTTTCGCCGCTGGTCGGGCGGGCACTTGTACAGCCCGATCGCAGCAAAGGGAATCGCGACAATACACCAGCCACCAAGTAGTGTCGTCAAGGTCTCCATAAAGCTGACCAGGGACGCCAAGCCACTCAGTAGCGTCACCAGCGTCCAGGGGTTCTGCGCAAACGTCTTGCTCAGCCTCCCTTCAGCTCAGGGCAGACATCAACCATTATTGCGCACATGCTCCGCTGCAACTTTCCCACTTGCATGGCAGACATTTCCTCCTCGTGCGCACCCCCAGTGCCAAGCTGACAAAACATTGGCGACAAGGCAGTGATCAGGACACACGTGCGCCATTATGCTTCCTGTCACGCGTACCTCCCTCCCCCCCATGTGCTGTTCTGGGTATTTCTTAAGTGCTGGATTGCCAATGCCGCCGACGAGCACGAAGACGGCGATATCAAAAATAGCGAGGCTGACGCTAATGCTGATGCCGCCGCTGATGTTACTACGTAGAGTAAGTAGTATTTCTGCCGCCAGTGATAATGCTGACTCGACAAGGCTCCACAACCATCCCTCTCCTCCTCCACCTCCTCCCCATCCTCCTCTTCCTTCTCCTCCTCCTCCTCCACCTCCTCCTCCTCCTCCTCCTCCTCCTCCTCCTCCTCCTCCTCCCCCCTATCACCACCATCTCCATTGTCAGTATCATCCTCCTCTTACCCGTCCTCCCTCTCCTTGTTGGACTACCCCTGCTGCCGATACTGCCATCACTGGGGCATCCCATGCTTCCTGTGCCAACGCACGCACGCGGCTGATCGCCAAAACCGCGCAAAAAGTACCGTTCACACAAGAGGAGGCAAAGAGGAGAAGGAAGAGAGAGAGGCAGAGAGAGAGAGTGAACAAGAGAGACCTGTATATATGTGTGTACACGTGTGTGTACATATGTGTATATATACATGTTTATAACGAAGTAGAAAATATACCAGACGCTCATACAAACCAAGGTAGAGAGAGAGAGAGAGAGAGAGAAAACGAGAGGGACAAATATACGTGTATTAGAATGTGTACACAAGACTGCAGTGGCGCTCCGCGCCATGCACATTGGCCCGTCAAGTTTGACAGGCGGAACGAGACAGAGAAAAAGAAAGAGAGGGGCAGATAACAAGCGATATACAGAGAGACGCAACCAAATGATTCGAATGTGTATAGGTAAACGTATGTGTATATACACGCATATATGTAGATGTCTGCGTATTTCTATATAAAGATTAGATGTATGTCTGTATATACATATGTGTGTACGCACCCGCTTTCGTCACCGCCGTCACCCACAATTTGTTATCCCCCCTTCTCCTAACATGTCTTTTGACCATTCCATGCGGTTCCTTCCCAATTGTCCTGCTCAACGTTGGGGTCACTTGGGGCCCTCGGTAGGCCGCCTGGGCGCGCTTGGAAGGCCTCTGGGAGCTTCTGGGCCCCAGGCGCCACCTGTGAATCGACATCATTCCTCTTCTTGTTCATTATTGCTCATTCTGTCCATCCTTTCTTGTCTTCTCTCCTGCGCCCTCCTCCTGCTGTTGCACTGCTGCTGACCGCTGCCATTTAGGGCCCTTGAACCGCCTCGAGCGGGAAAAGGAACGCGCCCTTCGCGAGCCCTCCCGGGCAAGTCCGCCGAGCTCTCGCGCCGGATGGCTTTCGCGTGAGACATCCTCAAGTTGGTAGCGGAGCGCGTTGCGCTCCCCCGGCTCTCCGCGCCGGCTGCCATGGCGACCGCAAGCTTCGAAGGAAGTGGTGTCAAAGCATGTCCTATAGCTGGTCCTCAACAAAGCTGGGAATCCAACGAAGAGGATTTCAGTGCGTGGGTGTGGTTCACAGAGCTGAAACCAGAACACATAGGGCCGCACATCAAAAATAGAGGTTTTTCGTCTAACCTGTTTTTTCCAAGAATCAGGCTAAACTTCTTGACATGGCCCAGTTGTCTACCGATCCAAAGAACGAGTCTGGAGCAACTGGCTCCCCTGGCTTCAGCTACTTGTTGTCCTTCATACAGAAAGAGAACAGAACCAAAGACGGCGTGGCAAAGCTGCTGTGTTTTTCTTCGTGGCTAGAGTACACCCGGAACGGTGGAAAACTGCAGGATTACATATCCGAAAGCGTGAGGCTCATTACTGAGTTTGAGGCTGATAAGTTCGTCAAGCTGGAAAAAATTGTCAAAGCTCTCATTCTCATAGTGAACGCTGAGCTGTCCCAACACCAACTAAGCAACCTAAGCACTCGGTTAGACATGGATGCTACCCTCACTGTCAGGAAAGCACGGGATGCTATCCAGAAGGTCCTGGGGGACAACCTCCTAGGAAAAACTGCGACGGACGGATTCGCCGCAGACGTCTGGGACGAGCCTGAATGGCCCGATTCTCAGTGGGAAGACCCGTCTTACTACGACCAGTCATGGCAGGAAGCCATCTGGGAAGACGCCGCCTACGGAAACACAAAAGGGTGTTTGAGGCGTGGTGACCCCAACCACTGGGTGAAGAAGTGTCCACACCCACCCAACTACACAACAAACAGCAAAGGCAAAGGAAAAAGAACCTTTACCCCCGGAAGGGGTTCAGGCAAAGGGCACGGAACAGGAGCTGGAAAGACAACCCCTGGCAGGGGAAAAGGGACCAATACTTACCAGGCAGGTAAGTATAGAGGAAAACCAACAAGTGGAAAAGCGACAAGCTCCAAAAGCAAAGGCAAAAACAAGGGCAAAACTTCACAGAAGACGTCGGGGAAAAGCAACCACGCATTCACAGCTGATGACTCCAGCTGGTGGATGGGGACTGACTGGTCAGAATATCCTGACTGGAGCTCTGGTCAAGCCAGCGGCCACGAAAACCACCCCGACTCGGATGCCCAACTAGCTTGGTCGTTCGTGGCGGAGCACTCAGACGAGTCTGCTCCTGACACCCAGCCACCGAAGCCACCCGACGAGCGGGGGCCACCCAGCCCGCCGCCAGAGCAAGCGCAGCAGCTACGCGCCTTCAGAGCGCTCCTGCTCGACAACGAGCTTGCGCACCTCCGGTCCCTCCAGGAGCAGAGGTTGCCAGAAACGTCGCGTCCGCCTCCCAACGCTGCAGCAAGTGCGTCGTCCAGCTACACCGCAGGTGCCGGACCGTCGAGCCTGGGCTTCCCAGCCGATGGAATGGCGTCTGTGGAGGCGGAGCGCGCTGGACCGGCGAGCCTGGGTTTCCCAGCCGCTGGAAGAGACGCTCCCGCCGACCGTGGCCCGTCGTCCAGCGTTCCGTCCGGGCCGGCGTGCCTGGGTTTCCCGGCTGCTGGAATGGATAGATCGCGCAGCACGCCCGTAGGCGTAGGCCCGTTCAGGGCACCTCGCACCGAGGGCTGCCCCAACCGGCTGGCGCGGATCAGCTGCCGCGGCAAGTTGATGGCGCAGTACGAGTGCATGTCCCACGAAGAGTGCGGGGACGCGTGCTTCACCAGCGAGAACATCGACTTGGTGGACCCGCTGCTCCGGGCGCCGTGCTGGCGCATGGGCCCAGAGCCGTGCCAGAATGGGCGGAACGACGACTACGGCGACGACGACTGGCCTCCTCCTGCCTTTTCCTTCGACTCCGACTGCGACGGCGACGAAGACGACAGCAGCAACGACGACGACGCCGAAGACGACGTCCCGCTGCGTCTACACGGCGCCTGATGGCGAACCGAAGGCCCGTCTCGTAGTGCAAGGCTGCTTCGAACCCGGCAAAGACAGCCATGTGGTAGAGAGTCCAACTTTACATCGTCACTCCGTTCGTTTCCTTCTTTGGCTAGCTGCTTACATGCAGTTCGAATCGGAAGCATGGGACGTGAAGAAGGCGTTCCTTCAGGCTGACGCGTCTATGCTGATCCCAATTGGGACGACTCCCTGGTGTTCGTCCGTCCGCCGGCTGGTGTCGACCTCCCTGAAGGACACGTGTGGCGACTGAAGCGTGGAAAGACTCTGTATGGCTTGCGCCGTGCACCTAGGGCATGGTTATTTCACATGAGGTCTCTTCTACTAGAACGAGGCTTTGTGCAGTCGATATGGGATCCACGTGTGTTCCTGCGCTTCGAGAAAGAGCAACTTCAAGGTTTTGTTGGTCTTCACGTAGACGACGCTCTGATGGCTGGAACAGATGTTTTCTGGAACATCATTGAAAGTTTGCCGCTGCAGCGGGGCACGCGTGAGCACGGTAATTTTGTCTCTTGCGGCTTACGTAAAGTAGATATGACGTACATCACTCTTGATCAAACAGAATATTGTAAACATCTGTCATTCATATCTGTACCTCCTCACCGCCTGCGGCAACCGACTTCACCAGTGACAGAAGCAGAGCGGGCCCCCTACGCCAGTGCCTCGGCGAGCAAATCTGGGTCTCGGACCAGACGGTTCCGACCAGCCCTTTTCACGTGAGTTCTGTCGCGTCCAAAGTGCAATCGGCAACAGTGAGCACGCTTCTAGATTGCAACAAAAACGCCCGTCGCCTCAAGAACGTCCCAGTTGTCCTCACATTTGGCCCCATGTCCAAAGACATCTGCGTTCATTATTTCGGTGATTCTTCCAAGAGCACTCCGCCGCAGCGCGGCATGGCTACGTTCATAAGAGAAAAGATGGGGAGGAGCAAAGTTGTTCGTGCGTCGACGTACAGGTGAGCATCAAAGAAGCAAGTCCGAGCATGCATCTCCGCCCTGGCAGCCGAGGCTCTCTCGGCAGAAGCAGCTTTGGATTGAAGCTGTCGTTTCATGGATTCCCAAGCACTGTGACAACGTACTTCCCTTGGAACTGCTGTGGATGCCAGATTTTGAAATGGTTGCGGATCCTCTCACCAAGGACAAGTCCAACCCAGAGAAGCTTCTAGCACCTATCCGGTCTGGTACACTTACGTTCACCTCAGCGAGAAAGCCGGCCACCGCACCACCAGCAAGTGCCAACGCAGCGTCGTCAGCTAGACCTTCGCGCCTGGGTTTCCCGGCTGAGGGAGAGGCGGTCGCTTGCGCTATGGTTGCCACTGCCATCGGCGCCAGGGTGCCGGCAGCGCCCGGCTGCACGAGCAAGGCTCGACCTCCGCATCCAAAGGCCTCCTCGAAAGCGAGTTCGCCGGCCCCTCCGGCAGGGCGCACAGACGAAGAGCAGCTCGCGGCGCTTCCGCCAGCACGCCGCCTGAGCAACGTGGAGCGGCAACTCCAGTGCAGTGCCTTGAGCATGATGTGCACCGAGCGCCGGGCCATGCAGAAGCTGCAGAACAAGCAGGACACGTCCCGGGAGCGACAGCTCGAGCGGGCCGTTGACTTAGCCCAACGGGAGCTGCAAGCAACGCAGAAGGTAATCTGCACGCACAATCGTATCAAGGATGCTGATAACGATGCCAGTGGCAAGCCAGAAAAATACCACGATCACGTGTACCGCCGGGATGTCCCTCAGATGGGCCATAACGTGTCTGCCAGAAAGCACAGGGATAGACAGAAGGCGAAGAGCGACAGGGCCGACTGGGAACAACGTCATGGTAGGCATGCTGGCCGGGAAGTGAGTGCTCCTAGCGTTCCGGATTACATCTCGGATCGTATAGAACCAGAGACGCCGTGCCCTGTCATTCAAAGAGAGAGGTCTCACAGCAGAGATCGTTCTGATCTTTCCGATTCGTCGGAGTCTGGCGGGACATTGTCGTGTGATGGAGACGACAAAGCCACAAATGGCAGGAGCCACGTCTTCACGAAGGCAGACCGGGCTCCCGAGCTGAGGCTGTCCACCGACAGGAACATGAGAAGGCCTCCCCCGAGCGCTGCCCAGAAAGCAAAGAAAACTGCGAAGCGCGCAGAGAAGAAGAGAGAGAAGAAGACGACTACAGCAACTACTGACTGACAGCTGAGCCACCCTCTGGCCACTTTCAGAAGAAAAGAGGTTGAGGTTGTGAATCGACTTCATTTCTCTTCTTGTTCATTATTGCTAATTCTGTCCATCCTTTCTTGTCTTCTCTCCTCCGCCCTCTTCCTGCTGTTGCACTGCTGCTGACCGCTGCCATTTAGGGCCCATGAGCCGCCTCGAGCGGGAAAAGGAACGCGCCCTTCGGGAGCCCTCCCGGGCAACTCCGCCGAGCTCTCGCGCTGGATGGCTTTCGCGTGAGACATCCTCACTACCATGCTGACAACCACGGTTTTCCTCAACGACCGGGCCACGATTTGGAGTGTTTTGGATGGCGTCTTGGGGCCATTGTGGGCCAGCATGGGTCTCACTTCGGACCATCGTGGGACCATGTTCGGCCGTTTTGGGGCTCTTCTATCTTTCTGGAAGCTGTGTGGGCCCAGTTTGATGCGACGGGCGGGGCCTGTTGGGCGCTCCCGGAACCCCAGAAGACCAAAGAACCGAACCCCAGCATCACACAACGGCTTTGTTTTTTTTGTTTGGGGGGGTCAGCATCCCACGCACACACACACACACACCCACACACACACACACACAAAAACAAAACAACAACAACAAAAAACACGCAGAAGGAGCCTATGCGCAGACCCTCCGCAAAATAAAACGAAGCGCACACTCTCCACGACAGGAATCGAGCCGTAAACCCTCCACAGCAAAAGTAGATACGAAACCTCCACAGAAGCCATTCGTTCAACGAGG